CCCCCGCCCCTCTTGCGGCCAAACCCACCGATTCCCGCCCGCCGCGGCGGTGTGCGCGCTCCCCGCGCCCTAGGGCCCCTGGCCTGTTCCTTCACTTTGTTCAAACGCAGGTGTTTGGCCGATCGCAGGTGTTGGCCGACGCTCTCGGCGCTTTTCGGCGGGCACTGCTCGCCCAGTCTTTTAACTCTCCTGCCCCGCACCCCTGCGGCCGCCCGTGCATTGGGTTCCCAGCGCGACGCGGCGCCCCGGCGCTGCGCCGCACACAACTGCGCGGCCTCGCTGCATGGAGGGCCCCGGGAAGCCCGGGGCATGCCCTTCCAAGAACCGGCACCGCATCACATGCAGCGGCGCGGCGCGCACCCGCGGCGCCTCCCGCTCGCCGGGCCCCCGGCGCGCACTGCCCGGCTGCTAAAACTCGGCGCCGGCTCCTTTCAGCGCCTGCTCGCCCCTCGCCTCGGCCCGCCACGTGGGGCGTGTGGCAAACCCCCCTTGGTTGCGGATAGGCGTCAGTGAGCCACACTGGGGCTCTGTCCCTGGAGTCCCTGTTTCCTGTCGCCCCGGGGGGCTTGTTCAGGGGGCGCAAATGCTGTCCATTCGTGCATCGGTGCCACGCACCTTGAACTTGTGTTGTGTGTGTGCCTGTGTGGCCCTGTGCGCGTGTCCTTGTGCGTGCGTGTCCGCGTGCGTGCGTGTGTGTGGTGTGTCCCCACACGGCTCTTTTGACTCCCCGCGCACCCATTTCCCTGCGCCATTCCGAAGGTCTGCAGCAGCCAGATGCAGCGCCCCCCAACATTTTGTAACGCTCCGATCCTCACCATGCTGTCCCCCTTTTGCAACGACGCGATGGGGGAAGGGGTTGACCACCACCCGGCCATTCCTCCCGACCCCGCTGATGAAGCGCAGCGTGCTGGGGTGCAAAGCGGCAGTAAAGCAGGAAAAGCGTGCTAGGTGCAGAACATCGAGCGTGCGCGAGGACACATGCACTGGCGCAATCCGTGTCAGTGAAGATTTGAATCATGTTGGGTCCAACAGGGGTTCTGGCGTACTCCTGGGCTGATTATACTTCTTAGTGCATCCCGACTAGCTTGTCTTGCTCTTCACTGCAATTCTGCAACCGCAGCCCCTTTGCTTGCACTGGGGCCGGGTGAGCGATTGTCCAGCCATCTGCGTGCGTGAGCACAATGATGCTGTCCTGCCCGCCTTGCCCCCAAGCCCTCCTCCCCGCCCCACACGTCGCTGCAGCCACGGCTGCGCCGCCACTTCCATGCTGCTCACAGGCGCCCGCCAGCAGCGCGCCCGCACCCTCGACGCCGCGCCCGGCAGGGCAGGACGATTGCGTCTGCTCGACGTGCCTCGGCGTGGCGGCGGGGGCGCGCCCTGGCTCGTCTGCGAAGACCGCGCGCGTAAAGGAGAACCCTCATGACCAATGCTGCCAAGGTCACGCAGGAAATAGACGAGCTCAACTTGGCAGTGGCGCGGGAGTGCTCTGAGGCCTGTGGCGCAGGTTCAAACCTGGACGTTCACGCCGCGATTTGCTCAGTCTGGTTGACGAGTTGGTGGTTCCTGTCTTCTGCCGGGCAATTCCTGTGGTGCGACCTCTGTTGGGCCAGCCTGGCATTCTCCTGGTGGGGTTGGGCCTGCCTCCTCCTCCCCATCCCAGAGATCATGCCTCTTCATCTTCTGCCTCTGCTTCCATGTGAATTGCCTGCTCCTCTCAGTCATAATCTATGTTCATCAGCCAAGGGATGCTTGACAGGGCCTGGGCGATGTCACCACTGGAAGGGCTGCCTCAAGCTGCAAGATACGCTCGATCCGGTGTGTTCCGCTGCCAGACGCAATGACTGTGCGCAGGCTGATACGACCCCACGGCCGCATCCCGGTGTCACCGTCACCTGTGCATCTCTGTAGCGTACACGCCGCTGGGGTGTGTCACACCCCACGGTGGCGCCACCGGTCACAGGTTTCGTTGATGATTTATTGCCTGCTGACGGCGCTGTGCTCCTCAATCGGCTCAACGTGTGGCGATGACCACTTCAAAACTGAGCATTGGGTAGGTGCACTATCAGCACCACCAAGAGGTGCACATCACCCACACACCCATGTCATTGTTGGATGGCATGCGTGTTTGCAACCATACATGCTTCACCCGTGATAGCAGGCAGCGGCACTGTACGGCCAGTCAAGTTGTTGAGGCGTTTTTGCAACTCATTTATGCTGTTAGGTGCAAGACAATGCAACTCACATAGCATTTGGGGCTGCAATGAGCAAAGCCAGGGGGTGGTGCAGGCGGCGGGCAACATATGTCAACATCAGCACATCACCCACAGCTGCAGCCAAACGGAGCAGCACCCGAACATCATTAAACCCATAGATGATTGCAGGATGTGGCCGGCATGCAGGCGGTGCTATTCGCGGCGAGCAGCGCGGGGCTTCCTTCATGTGATCGTGGGCGACGAGGCGTCGTCATCGGCTGCATCGATGTGCATCTGAGCCGAGCGAAGCGGCGCTGCATCCCAGGGTCAGGGATAGTTGGCTTGGATGAAAGAATTGGATTGCGGATGCTCTTGTTACCCCCAGCGCTGATTCATGTTCGGGCGTTTTCCGGAAGATCTAAAGCGGCGATCTGGATTTTCTGTTATTCGCTGACAACGGGCGTCGCGGCACTGCCAGCATCGTCGCAAAAGCATCGCACGCTTCCTGTGAGACATTGGCAGCACCATTCAAACGCTGCGGCCTCTTGTGATCTCCCGCGAAAGTGTAGCGTGTTGCCCGTCCGAGGGTTCGGTCACCAGCTTGTTCTTCAACACCCCAGCTGCAACACTTGCGACTTGAGTGTTGTTTTGCAGTCCACGCGACGCCGTGCCGCAGTCCGAAATCAATTCAAGCCGGGTTGGACCGGCCCCATTTACTGGCTTCGCTAAGACAAGCGATGCAGGGCGCATTTAGCTGCAATCACAGGACGACACCCCTCCGCCAGCACGGGGGCTGCAGCAGTCGCAGCGCTCCTGCCGCTGCACGCCTGCGCCGCGCGCGCCGCAGCCCGCGCCCCAGCGCGCGCGGCGCGGGCGCCGCCGCCCCGCC